GAGGTTCTGCTCTGTAGCATAAAATTGCAAAAGCAAGTTTTTTAGTGCACAGTAGATTTGCAGGCCTCCCTTTCCTAGAGACTGTGAGGTTTAATGGGAAGAGCATGAACTTGCTGTCCGCTGTGTGACCTTGGATGAAGCCCTTAATAGCTGAGGCGCTGGTTCTCATAAATCTGCCTTGATTGATTATTGTGAGAATTTAATGTAGCGCTGGCAGATTATAGCCTGCAGGCCTCTTTTTGTAAATAAAGTTTTATTGAGACAAGCCACATCCATTCCTATAGCCTTGTTTATGGCCATTCACCCACTACACCAGCACAGTTGGGTAGTCGTGACACAGACGACCGTGTGGCCTGCAAAGCCTAGACTATGTACTTTCTGTCCCTTTATGGAAAACTGTGCTGACCCCAGATATTGAAAAAAACTGGTTTGAGTCTGAGCTCTGCCACTCAGTGACAGAGTGACCCTGATCATGTTCTGTGACCTCTTTGTACCTAATTTTTCCTCTGTAAATGTCATTTATACACTCCTTCAGTGAATACTGTGTGCCTGTCATGTGTCAAGCACTGTTCTAAGCTCAGGAAGTGCAGTAGTGAGCAAAATAGACACAAATACCTGCCCTTCGGAGCTTACATTTTAGTGACCTGTTCAGTGGGGACCATGCTAGTGCATACAGGGAGACCTAGATGAGTGAATGCTCGTGAGCACATTTAGAACCTTGACACAAGCAGTCATAAGTAGAATACATGCCCAGTGATGCTGGTTATTGTTACAATGCTCCTATAGCGGGGTTAATGTGGGAAATGAAGCAGGACCTCAGTTCGGGGGGGCACCCTTAAATTCCAAGTTTACGGTCACTAAGGGTTTACTGAACGTGAATAACGAACAGTAGTGAGGAGTATACAGGATCATAGCTGGTGTATAAAGACAGGATGGCTCATGAAACTCTAATCTCTGCAAAGTGAATGAAACAGCAGCCCTGCCCGTTGAGCGCAGCGCGGATTCAGGGTATTCTTGGTACAGAGGACTGCTTGGGCGGAGGTGACAGCAGGAAGGGCAAAAACGCCGATGCCTCTGATCCTCTGACACATAGGCGTGGAGCTTGGAGTTGACTCCTGGGATCTTATGCTCACTGCATATTTTAAAATTCTCATTGGACTTCGGATCCCTTGGACTTCTGAGGGTCTTTGAATCCATATAGGAAGGAATGGGAGGAAAGGTACTCAGGAATGTAAGGGTCAGCTTAGATTAATATTCTTTGGAGTAGTGATTATGTTTTAAAGTGGAAGTTTGAAAATATGAAATTAATGCTAGCTTCTTTGTATACATTAACTATCCTGTATTGATGACCTAATTAAATTGGGGTCTGTGCACAGGGTCCTAGGACCCGGGTGCTCTGCCCCGTGGGGCTCGGGCTCGCACAGGAGCGGAGTAGAGGCTATGGGGAGCGGAACGAAGGCACCACGGCAGAGGGCCTGGGGACCCCTGAAGGTGTGACTGGGCGGAAAATAACTTAACTTTGCTAATGTTCTTATTCCTAAAGTAAGGAGAGTGGACCAAGGTGCTCCAGGTCCTTTTCAGCTCCAATGATGTGATTTGTGAATCTTCTCTCTGACCAGATGCCCCGAAGTAGAGGCCTTGTGGCCGTTTTTCTCTCCCGCTAGAAACCGTTGCTTCCCTCCTGGCGTAGCGACCCTGTGCCTCTGCGTCTTTGTGTCTCTCGGGTAGAACGCGTGACACTGGAGTAACGGGGCCGCTCTCCTCGTTCTCAGTCAGTCTGCACCGTCTTTCTCGGGGCAATTTCCTTTTGTAACCCGTCCCTGTGGGTGACGGTGTAACTGATGGGCCCCATGATTCCCCGAAGCGCCTTTCAGTTCTGTCCGACTTCCTAAGAGTCTAGAGTTGACTCAGAAGACTGAAGATGCACTGGGAGGGAGAGGGCTGTGTTTGTTTTGTTAAGGAGGAAAAGAAGGGAAGCCTCCAATCCTGGGAGCTCAGGGGCTGATTTCAGATCTCGGGGCGTCGCTGCCGCGGTGCTTCTGCAGTGTATCCTTTTTCCTGTCAAGCTCCCCGTTTGGCAAATAACTGTAGGAAATGTTTACACCTAAAAGCATATCTGATGTGAAATGACCAATTCAAGATTGCCTGTGTTATAGGCATGAAAACTAAGACTTGAAATCTATAGTTTGTGGTTTGTGACCTGGCAGAGATTAAATAAAATTCATATACACTTTCTGAAAAGAAAAAGAAAAAAAAATTTATACTTTATTTGAAAACATGCCATTCTTCTGGAACTTTCACTTTTAGGGTATTGAGTAGTTAAAAGTGAGATGTTTTTGAAAGATCTCCAGTTAGTAAAGAATTGAAGTGGAAAAATAGACTCCAATGATTTTACCGATCAGGAGTCATTGCCCTTAAAAATATAAAGTTAATATTATCTATGACTTTAATACCTATAGTATTCCAAGTACATGAAATTCCACCTAAAGGGCCTGTACGGGTACAGGGTCAGATGGTATCATTTTAAGCCGCTGCTGCTGAGCCTGTGTTCGCATCGTATGTTTTGAAGACAGGAAACAGGGTGTGAGAAAAGGCCTCCCTACTGCCCGTTTTAGAGGGTTGCTCACGGGGAACGGCGCCGAGGTGGTGTGACGGTCAGGAGCTCTGTTTCTAGGGTCAGAGAGATCCAGGTCCAAACCCACCCCTGCGATGCACAGCGGAGTGACCCTGCTTCCCCTCGGAAACGGGGTGACGTGAAGTCCTACCTCAGAGGCTCCCCTAATCTTGGGAAGACTCGATCAGAGAGCTCGTGTAACATGAATAGTGCTGGGCTATGACTTACTTTACATTAACTGCAGTCATTTTTGTTAGCACAAGTGCATCCTGGAAATCTAAACGCGGGTCATCAACTTCCTTCTCTGCCTCCTAATGGAAATCCTCTGGCACCTTTTGAAACACTGTGTTGGGAATTGGACTTCCGGTTCTGGATCGGAATGGTGTCGAGGTATTCCTCCTGCTGCTCTCAGCCAGAATGCCCTGGCTGTCCTGTGAAACGAACTCAGGAACATTCCGAAAGGCAAGAGAACAGGGCAGCCTGCCCAGGGACCCGGGGACTTGAGGGGAGGCCCAAAGGTGACTTTCCTGGGTCTCCTTTTCCCCCGTCGATCTCCGACTGGACGTCAGAGAAGCCGTTGGTCCAGAAGGGCCTGTGGGTGCAGACGCAAGAAGCCCCCCGGACAGCCTGCTCTAAAGCAAGACAGACCCTTAGACAATGCCCGCCCTACGAACACTGCGGGGAAAATGTAGCCCCACCCTTACCAGCTAAGGCCAAGTGAGCGGGGACTCACACCTTCCCCTGGACGTACGGAAGCACCCCTCATCCCTCGGGGTGGTGTCAGAGAAGACTGGGTGGGGGGCCAGGACTTCCATCCCCACTCAGCAGTGACAAGGCGCCCTCCGTCCTCTGCCCGGCGGCCAGTGGAGGCCAGGCGGAGGACCGCAGCTCCCACCTGTTGGAGAACCACAGGCACGAAGCTGTGGCTCGACCTTCTCCCCAGCAGTGAGGAGGCACCCTTCCCCCACCTCACATCTCTGGTGTTAAAAGAGGCCGAGTGGGGGACCTGGATGGCCCCCCAACATGGCAGTAGCAAGATGGCCCCTTGCCTTGCATTCCCATTTCCCTGGTTAGAGGAGGCCAGCTAAAGGAGATTTATTCAAGGTTCACAGTCTCTTGACGTTAAACCCCAAATGTTTAGAACAGAATTAAAAATCATGCATTATACCAGGAACCGGGAGCATCTCAGCTGGAGTGAGAAAGGCAGCCCACAGCTTCCCAGCCTGAGCGGCCTTCAGGGCAGCCGGCGTGGAAGGGCTCCAGTGAGCAGTACGAGCCCTGGACGTGTGAAGCACTGAGGGAGCTCGGCAGGGAGACGGAAGATAGAAAAGCCAAAGGGAAGTTTAGGGGTGGAAAACACAGTAACTTGAAATGAAATTTAAGAACTCGGTGCGTATGGGCTCGGCACCATAGCGGAGGGGGTGAGCGGGAAGAATCGGGGGGCTTGAGGACAGAACGCAGTTATCCGGTGTGAACAACAGAAGGAGAAAGACCGGGAAGAATGACAGCCTCAGGGAAGGTAGAAGTGTGATAAATGGTCTAACCTTCTGCCCTCAGAGTCCCAGAAGGACAGAAGAAGGAGGGTGGGGCTGAGAAAGCGTTCAAGGAAACAGTTTCCCAAATTTGGCAAAACCCTACCCGGATTTAGGAGGGCCAAGGCTTGGGCGCATTTCCTCGGACTGGATTGTGGGTAGTAAATGGGCCACCTCTGGAAATTTTTATGACCCATTAATGCATCCATCCTATTGAAACATGGAAGGATCTTGTTTTCAGTCTTATTCTCTCTGACCAAGACCCACTTGCTTTATCTTAGTCTGGGTTACATCCGCTAGTGTTTCCAATAAAACATAAGAAGATGGTTTTGCATATCTTACACTTTCCTAAACCAGCAGCCACCTTGGCGTGTGACCGGTGGAAATGAGCGTGTATGTCCACCTGCTGCTATGTACACAGGTGTTCACAGCAGCCCCATCATACCAGCCCCAAGCTGGGGACAGCCCTCTGCCTGTCACCCGCTGAACGGATGCATCCACTGTGCCGTGCGCACATGGGAGCAGTGCCCACGCTGCGAACGGACGAGCTGCTGTGATAGGCGGCAGTGCATTTGGCAAAGGGACACAGAGAGCGCGCTGTATGTCTGCGCTCACCCCAGACTCCAGGAGAGGCAGAAGTGACCTAAGAAGATAGAGGTGAGAGTATCAGTTACGTGAGGACTTGTCAGCTAGTCAGGGACACGAGGGAGCCCCTGGCGCTGGAATATTCTCCACCTCAATCTGGGTGGTGGTGGCACATGTGCATAAATTCTCTGTAAGCCGTGGGCTGAAGATTTGTGTACTTCACTGAAGTTAATTTTAGAATAAAATATGTGTGTGCCCTGAAGCCCAGATCTCTCTGCAAACTCTTCCCCTTGCCTTCAAGGTGAAATTGAGACTCATGAGTGTGGCCTCCAAGCCTGCGACCCGGTCGGTCAGGCGCGTTCCCTGCTGTGCCCCGTGGCGCCTCATGCTCCTCCACACCTGGAGAGGGGGCATGCTTTCTGCTCGTCTCTAGGGCCTTCCTCTCTCTCCTGCATCCGCCTCCCATCCTGACTTCAGTAAGAGCAGTAAGTATGCCTGATTTGTCGCCTCGTTCCCAATACAAGGTCTGTCACAAAGTAGCTTTCCTTTTACATTTTTGTCAAGTGAGTAAAAATGGTTGTAGATTGAAATTTTTTCAGGCATTCATCTGCTAGCAAACAGGGAACTCAATCATGGAGAAAGGGCCGGAGAACGAAGCTGTTGCGCTCACGCCACGCTCGTGGTCACATCCTGAGGGAGGGCACTGAAGACATGGGCAGAGTTAGTTCCTTCCGGCTGGTCGGGGCTGGCGAGGCTGGCCCCGTGCCATCGCCGTGTCCTGGCTGCTCCAGGGCCTGGCTACCGTGTCACGGCCCAGGACCATTCATTGCCCCACTCCCCCCAACCCTGAGCACTCTCACCATACACTTTGAGGCTTTCTAGCACATTTACTGCTATCTAAGCCCTTATCTCTCCTCCAAAGATTAGAAATATCCTCCTATAATTCTATGGTGTGATTTTTAAAAAGTGTGCATTTTTTAATTGCACAGCCCTGGGCTTTGCGGCTACTCCCTCTGTACTGAGCAGATGGGTTGACCCTTGCAGAGCTCCTTCTCTCTGTGTGTCACAAAGGGGCTCCGGTTCTTCCTCAGCAAAGTGGTCATGAGCACCAAATCTTCGCGTGTAAACGTCGGCACGAGAAGGCATTCGGCGCTCTCCCTTCCTTCCCGTTCCCTGATCTCCGGCAGGGCTCACCGTGCTGCTGACATGTCATCTTTATTCACACATTCCCCTCGTTGTGAAGTGTGCCTGCAAGGTGTCCAGGGGCGTCCCCGTGACACTCCAGAGGCTGTGACGCTGTCAGTCAGCTAGTCAGGCTTCGTAGTTGGCAGAGAGGGGTTTCCCTTCAGTCACCTGCTGGCCTCATTCCTCCCTGTGCACAGAAGGACGCGTGGCCTCAGGGCTGTTCGTACACACTTCCTTCCAAGGGATGTGTGACATGAGACTGGAGCTCCCAGCAAGTCTTTTCCTTAATGCCAGGGGCAAGTTGATAAACAGTTTCCAAGGCTACATTTAATGGTGGCACGGAGCTCATCGTAATACAAGCAGTTGAGATTCTGTCTGCGGGTTAAAAATTAAAGACTGAATGCACTCAGGAGAGGATTCTGTTTGTTTAGGCACTGAGGTGCGACGTTGTGTTTGATGCATTATGGGTGGGGATCACCCCAAAGTAGCAGGGGTGGAATGCATATTTTTGCAAACTTGCTGTATGGGATATTTTTGTTCTAATGTAGCTGTGCGTGTTAGCACAAATATGCCAAAAGAGCTTTTCTGAGCTGCTTTGTTTTCTCTGCCACTGACACGGTTTACTGATCCCTTCCTGGTATGACTACTTCCTCAAGCTGTGTCTTGTGGCACTTTAAGGAGGCTGCTACCTGGGGTGGGGCTGGAGTCATGTGCACCCCAGTGTATCAGAGATAAGTTCACCTTGGGATTCATATATTCCCCTGCTTGTGCTTAAATCAGAAGTCTGTCTTCTTGCTCTTCAGATATTTCACTGGTCAGCTTTTGACATTTCACTGGATTAAAACTATTTTAAAGAAATTACTGTAATGGAAAAGTAACACTATGCTTATACTTTTTTCTCTTATGATTCAGCTAGTTTAAAGTTCTTTAAAAAGAATGCCACACAAATGCCTTTAGTAGAACAGAGATTATATTAATCTGTTGTTTTATTGAGCACTTTCTAGAAGCCAGGTGTTGTGCAAGGCATGCCCTTTTCTCACCATCTGCCTAAATGACACCCTCTGCTTTGCAGTAGAGCCCCTTGCCTGTTTCCAGTGAGACCGAGGTGCCTCATCTAAGTGCATGTGGCTGAGCGGGTGGCAGTGCCAGGGTCCTACTCCAGCTTCCTGCCATTGCCCCATGTTCGGTGGGAGTGTGAGGAAGGTGAGGGGCTGGGAGCAGGGGCAGTGCTGTGCAGAGGGGGCAGCCTCCTGGCAGGGGAGATGTTTTACATTCCAAATCAGTTGAAAATACCTTTCTGACATGTAGCCCCAAGGTTTCTGGTTGTTGTGTAATTGGTGAGTGTTGAAGCAGACACATCTCGCAGCTATGCAGTGATTTAACATTCATTCACCAGATATTCAAGTTTCTACCATGTGAGATCCATTCCCTTTTCACTTAAAAACAATTAGCTTTTTTTTTTTCAATCTCATAAGCAGAATATAGTAAGCTTCTTTAAAACCAGCTTATTGCATTCAGCCTTTAAACAAAGATTTTATCTGCTGGCTGGAGAATTCCTGAGAAAATGGCACCAAATTCAGATGCAGATGTCTGCTAAAGTAGGTTCATCTTCCTGGAATCTGGTAGTGACTTAAAAAAACAGTTTTGCTGATCACCTTGTTCTTTGCACTTCTGGTGCGTTCAGAGTTGCAGTGTCACTCCTCTTGGAGAGCTTCTTTGTTGCTCCAAAAGCACTTTGAGAGCACCGCGGCCTTACCGGGCTGTTGCTCTGGGCCCTGTGGTACTGCTCCCCTGGGTTCTGCTCTGAGCTGCTCCATGGCTCATTTTCATGTGTTCTTCCTTCTACGGTGCTCGGCCTTGCAGTGTCTGGGGCGCAGTTAGCTGATGAGATGCAGCCGCTGAATGTGTGGATCCCTTCTCGGCCCCCGCCCCCCCTATATCCCTGCCCTCGGTGCTGTCAGCCCTGCACTGATGTTAGCATTGAGGTGCTGCCCTGTCTCCGTCCTCCGTGGGAAGTGGGGCAAATGCTTGTCCCATAGTTTGTTTCCTTTCCTGCCAGCACATTAGTTCACCCATTGGAAGAACTATTAGTTCCTCCTTACTCGGGTTTCAGAACCCACTTCAGGTACAGATAACTCTACAGTGCATTGTAGCTGGTCAACAAGATATTACTATTAAAGGCCTTTGTCTCCTAAAACCTCAGCTTGCAAAACTTAGGTGGAAAATGCTCAGCCTTTCTAATAAGAATAAGAAGGAAAAATGCTCAGCTTTGTTAATAAGAATAAAGTAAAATCTGAAAATAGCCACGTGAAGGTAGCACGGAGCCTCCCTTGTCACTCCCTAGTTGATCGTCCTGTTCATTTCCTTTATAGGAATTACCACCATCTGTAAATATGTTTATTTGTTCACTTATTTCTCGCTTATGCCCTCCCAGGTGTGCCCCCTCTCCTGCTAAGTTTCTTGAGCACAGGGACCTGTTCACTGGTCTCCTGGGGGATGTGTAGATGGGGTCGGTCATAGGAGCTATTTTGCTTCCTTCACATGCATTTATTTTTTTTCAGCAAATAACTTGACAGCTAAGGTCAAGGCAAGGGATGCAAGAATGAATGAAGCATACAGTTGGAAATCTCAGAGTTTAATGAAAGAGTCAGATACGCAGATAAATAGCTGCTGTATATACTGTGGATTACATGCAGCCAGACTCTCACCTGACCGTCCCCATCCTGGGAAGGAGCCAGCCTAGGACCTAGAGAAGCCAACAGATACCGTGTTTATAAAGCTCTTCCCACACATGGAGAGAGGCGAGGAATCTTCCACCCCTCTCAGAATTCCTTTTCTTATTGTTCTGCTCATGTAGTAGCCCAGGGCAGGCCCCTTCTTTGGAGGGAAACTTGGTTTTTCAGGCCCATTCTGCCCCCACCTTGATGAGGCCTACACCCACCTGTACCAACCGCTCTCCTGTGTCTCTCTGAGCCACTGGTGGGAACTGGAGATTTTGTCCCCAGAAGACTCTGAAGTGGGTCAGACCAATACATGCATTAAATTAACTCCAAAATCACTTTGACCTCAGGGCAGAAAATTTATTCCATATTAAAATACTAAATTCATTGTAGTAACAAAATGCCCATAAGAGATACTCTATATTTGAATATTAATTCTATCTCATTATCAAATTCCCAGGGAGATTGTAAATCCAAAGATTACATTTCCTTTTAAATTCAAGTCCAAAGACATTAAAGCCAGATTCTGTGCTCAGATGAGTTAAAATTCAAAGACCTTGAAGTTCCGAATGTGTCCTCCCCAGTCTCTGATTCTGCTGGGTCCCAGCTGGAGGGGCTCAGTGATGCCTGTATGAGGGTCAGGGTTCTTCTCTGCTGGAGTCTGGGTTGGTGGCCTGCAGTTTCACAAACCCTAATACCAAATCTCTGATAGGTCTCCCTTATAAAACGTAAAAAGGTTTACAGAGCCACAGGCTCATCAACGCACTGGCCTCAAAGGAAGAAAAAATGCCAGTTTGCAGCCTCCCAAGTTAACCCGAGCAAAAGGGTGTCCCCAGACGCCAGCACCTGGCATCTGGTGCCACTAGCACACCACAGCAGAGAGGCTTGGTCTCTGCTTCGCCAGCATTTCCCAAAGTCCGGACGGTTTGGTGGCCTGTGACATTTGGGAGCAGCCTCCTCACTATTTCTTGGGGTGAAAAATCCCTGTGAGCCAAGGCCATGCTTCTCTCCCTCGCCTGGGCGTGAAGGGCCCCAGTCGTAGTTTCTGCCCTAGTAACAACTAAGATTTTCTAAAATTCCCTTTAGGAACAGTTAGGACTAGATGCATCTTTATTCCCCTTTTAGATGTTTTTATCCTGACCATCAAGTTAATTATTTTCCATTTTATATCTGGGTAATCCATCCTCTAAGGTTGCAACTTTTGCCCCTAAAAATAAAAAGTCACTCTTCCTTCACCTAAATCAGCTCGATAGCTGTCTTTTGTTTTCATTCTTTCACTGCTGCTGTTCTGATAGTAAAACAGAGCCGCTTTGCATACATACCACTCTAGCTTTTAGATTTCCTGAGCACCTCTGGATTTTAGAGACAGATTGCTCCAAAGACCTTTTCAAATTGAAGTGTTTCCCTGAGTTGATTTTCTACATTAGAATAACAAAACACTATCCTTGTGTTTTTCTGGTCTTGGAATCTACCTAAATATTCTCTTAGGTGTGATATTTACTGCAGGTTTCTGGCACATAATCTTTTCCAAGTTAAAAAAGTTACTGAGATAATTATTAGTACAAATTAGGATAATTACAGGTTTTCTGATCTACATTAAGCTCAGGATGAATTTTTCTAGCATGTTTAATTGAGTTAATTTAATAATACTCCAGGAATTTTGGGGTGGGGAGGGGCTTGTCTGTATCTGTAAGGTAAATAGGCCTGCAGTTTTCTTGTACTGGTCTGTCTCTCACCCTGGTTTTGGAACCAAGTCACAGTAGTCCCATAAAACGATCTGGGAAGCTCTCTCTCTTTTTCTATGGTTTTGGAGCAACTTATATACATAATACGTTACCTGTTCCTTAAAAATTTGATGGCACTCGCTTGGAATGCTGTCTGGGTCTTTTACTGTTTTTATATGTGTCTTGGTCATTTTCATATTTTTAAATTATTTAAATTTAAGTGTTTATTGTTCTGGTCAAGCCTTTTATTGTGTCAGTGTTGACATTTTCTACTTTTCTCAGAAATAGCCGTTGCACCTAGATTTTTAATTTTTTTCCTAAAGTTTGTAATATTACTTTATGTGTGTTTTCTATACCTATTTGTCTCTTTTCATTGTATTCTTTTTAAACATTCTCTCTCTTTTCCTTTCCCAAGCTGGAGTTTTTCCTTTCTATTAATGTTTACAAAGGAACAGCGTGGGTCTGGCTTGAGTCTCTTCCCTGCGGTGTTGTCCCCCCCTGACTCCCTGACGTCTGCCCGCCATTCAAGAAGGAAGAGAAGACTGGTCGCAGCCTTCTCTCCGGAAATCACGTGAAACTGGAATCAGAGGGATAACGTCTTCAAAATGCTAAAAAAAACCTGTTAATCTAGAATTAAACATTCAGCCAAAATATCCTTCAAAAATGAGGGCCAAATAAAGACATTTCCAAACAAGCAGAAGTTGAAAGAACTTGTCTTTCACAGAACTGCTTCAAAAAGAGTTAAAAGAAGTTGTACAAACTGAAGGAAGATGATACCAAGTGAAACCTGGTTCTAGACAAACCAAAAGCACTAGAAAAGTTAGATATGTGAGTAAAAATGAAATGCCTTTGTCCTCACTTTTAAATTTATTTAAAATACAGTGGTCTCTTTGAAGCAATCATAGCAATGTATTTTGAGGTTTATAATGTATGTAGAAGTGAACCATACAAGAGCGATTGCCCAGATGTCAAGAGGAGATTACAGTTGTAAGATTCTTATGCTGCATATGAAATAGTATGATTTGTAGATAGACCACAGACACGTACTCTTAAGCCCTGGAGCAACCACTTAAAAAAAAAAAAAGGAGAGAGAAATAGTTAATAAGTCAATGGTGGAGAAAATAGTGAAATATTAAAAAGTCCTTAGCTTAGAAGAAGCCAGGAAAAGAGGAAAAAGGGAGCAAAGAGCAGTTTAGGACACATAGAATACAGATAACAGATAATAAACTTAAACACAATTGTATTGATAAGTACATTAAAAGCAAGTGGTTTAAATACTCCAATCAAAAGACAGAGACTGTTAGACTGGGTTCAAAAGCAAGACTCAATTATATGATGTCTACAAGAAATACATTTTGAGTGTAAAGATGAAGGTAGGTGAAAAGCAAGAAAATGAAAATAATGCCATTATGCAAACACTTATGAGAAAGCTGGAGGAACTTCAAACAGGAATGTCCCTAGATGCACAGAGGGATAATTCATAATGTTTAAAGGACCAGTTATCAAAAAGACTTAACTTGTGTATGTGAGATTCTGGAAGCTGTTTGTGTATGATAATCTCACTTGATACTTAAAAAAATAAAACTTTTGCAGTTGAAAAAAAAGGCATAATAACCTAAACATATATTGCTGATAGCACTATCTTTATTCATAAGTGAGATGGTGTGTATTAGGGAATTTACAAGAAAGTTATTGTGATAAGGGAATTTTGAATGGTCATAGGATGTGTGCATGTGTGTGTGTGAAAATACATATATAAATAAAACACATACAACTTAGCTATATTATCTAGATCAAGTAAAGAATAATTAGAAAAACAAGTTTTTTAGTGTCTCTACAGTAGCATCATAAACCTCACATGCACAAAGCAAAAACCAACAGAACTGAAAGGAGAATTGGATCTCTAATTATAATCAAAGATTTCAACATTTTAAGCAAATTCTAGAACAAGAAGAAAGAAACTCAATACTATAGGAAACTTGAACACCGTCAGCCAGCTTGAACAATTAAAATTTACAGAACCCTGTACCACCTGCAGAGTTTACATTCTTTGCAGTACCCATGGAACATTCCATAAAACAAACCTCAATACATTTAAGTGAATTCAAATCAGACAGTATGTTCTCTGACTACAGTAGAGTTGAATTAGGAATCAGTAGCCATAAAGTATCTTTAAAATCCCAAAATATTTGACAATCAAACAGTGTACTTCTAAATAGCCCGTATGTCAAAGATGAAATCATATGGAAATTAGAAAATATTTTGAACTGAATGAAATGAAAACACAACATGCCTAATTAGTGAGATGCATGTAAATAGTGTTTTGGAAATCACTGTTTCAAATACTTATATTAGAAAACAAAAAAAGGTTTAAAACTAGTGATCTCAGTTTCCAACTTAAAAAACTAGTAAAAACCAAGAATAAATTCAACCATAGTAAGTAGAAGAAAAGAAATAATAAATAGGAATGGAAATCATTGAAATAGAAAGCAGATACAGGGTAGAGAAAATCAGTACAATCAAAAGCTGGATACTTGAAGAGATCAATAAATCTGCCAAGAAAAAAGATACAAACGGCCTATGAAAGAGGGGGCCATCACTACAGATGCTGTAGGCATTAAAAGGATAATAAGGGAATATTATAAACAACTTTATGCCAAAACTTTCAACAAATTAGAAAGCATGGAAAATTTTCTTGCAAGAGGCAAGATACCAAAACTGAATTAAGAATAAAAAGAAAATCTCCATACCCTATGTTTTTTAAAATGTAATTAAAAACTTTTTCCACAATAGGATCTTGAGGCATACACAGTTCAATAGTGACTTTTAATAGCACTTGAGAAAGAAAGAAGAGCAGGTCTTTCTCTTTTAAGAAAATAAAGGAGGAGCGCTCACTCTCCAGCATGTTTTATGAAGCCAGAAACACTCTTGATACCAATATTCCGACAAAAGCCTTACAAAGAAAAAAGAAATACAGAAACATGAACATGAGCAGAATCGTGAAATGAAACACAGAGAATTCTTTTAAAAATATTTACTGAATCCTGTACTATATAAAGTGATAATGTATCATGAATAATAATACTGTATCTCAGTCATGTACTGTTAACATTAGAAAATTGCTATATTCCCCCATATTAACAATAAAAGGGAGAAAGATGAGATTATCTCAATAGATAGAGGGAAAGCATTTAACAAAATTCAGCACCCATTCATAATAAAAATTTTCAGCCTGCCAAGAGTAGAAAGGAACTTCCTCAACTTTATAAAGGGCATCTACTAAAAAAAGTTCACCAGCTAATTTCATACTTTGTGATGAGAGACTGACTGCCCCCCCCCCACCCCCTTAACAGCAGGAGCAGGGCGAAGATGTCCACTCTCATCACGCTCATTAACACCAACCCGGAGACCCTAAGCGATCCACTGAGCAAGAAAAAGAAATAAGAGACATACGTATTGAAAGGAAGGAGTAAAACTATCTTTATTCATAAGTGAGATGGTGTGTGTTCAGGAATTTACAAGAAAGTTACTGTGATAAGGGAATTGTGAGTGGTCACAGGATGTGTGCATGTGTGTGTGTGAAAAAATATATAAATATATAAATGAAACACACATACAACTTAACTATATTATCTAGACCTAGTAAAGAAAAATTAGGGAAACAAGTTTTTTAATACCTCTACAGTAGCATCATAAAACATGAAATACTTAGGGATAAGTTTTAACAAAATATACACAAGAATATATATGCCGGAAGTCATATAACACTGGTCAGAGAAGTGAAATGACCTAAATAAGAGGTCTCCTGTATTCATTTAAGGGACAGTTTAATATTGTTAAGATACCTGTTCTCCCCATGTCTATGGAGTGAATGCTATATACCAGTCAAAATTTCAGGAGGCTGTTTTTGTAAAAGCTGACATGCTGGTTTTAAACTTTCTATGTAAATGTAACAGACTTAGAATAGCTTTTAGGGAAGTTGTGTCACCCCAAAATTCACGTGTGAAGTGCTAACTCCAAGTTATTTAGAATGTGACCTCATTTGGAAATAGGTTGCTTCAGATGTATCAGTTAAGATGAGGTCATGCTGGGATAGGGTGGCCTCTAATCCAGTGTGACTGGTGTCCTCATTAAAAGGGGAAATCTGGACATAGAGACACACACAAGAAGAATGCCACGTGAAGATGAAGGCGGAGACAGATCTACAAGCGAGGAAACACCAGAGATTGTCAGCAGACCCCCAGGAGCACAGAGAGAACGACCCTCAGAAGGAACATCCTGCCAACACCTTCATCTCAGATTTCTAGCCTCCAGACCGGTGAGAGAGTAAGTTTTGTTATTTAAGCCACTCAGTTTGTGGCACTTTGTTACAGCACCCCTACCAACCAATACAATAGCCAAAACAACTTTGAAAAAAAAGGTGGAGAATTTTTCTTCTTTCATGAGTTACTACAAGGCTAATTAAGACAGTCATGTTAGCATAAATATATACATAGAATGGAATAGAGAATCCAGAAATAAACTGATGGGGAAATGATAATCTTTTCAACAAATGGTACTGGAAAAATTGTATATCCTTATAGAAGAAAAAAGAAACCTCAACCCTAAACTTACACCAAATTCGAAATTGACTTAGATGGAAATGTGAAAGCTGCAACTATAAAACTCACAGAAGGAAAAACGTTGTGGACATGGTGGCGCAAGCCATGATTTCTTAGGAGACAAAAAGCAGTAGTCACGAAAATTGGTAAATTGTTCTTCATCTAAATGAAAAAGTTACACTCTTTGAAACACACTATTAAGAAAATGAAAAGACAAACCACAGACTAGGCGAGAATATATCAATGCATATAGTACTCATGTCAAAATTATGTGAAGAACTCTAAGTAAGAAAGAACAACCCAATTAACAAAATAGGTGAACTGTTTGAACAACACTTTATAAAAGAAGACACAGGAGTGTCCCATAAGCGCTTGAGACAATGCTCCGTATCATGTCATTAGAGAAATGGAAATGAAAATCACAATGTGATACCACCTGAAGTCTGTTGGGAAGGCTCTGCAGTAACTCAGTTACATTGATGGAGGGAATGTGAAATAGTCCATCCCGTTGGAAAATAGCTTGGCAGTTCTTACAAAGTTGAACGTGCACTTAGCAGATGACCCAGGCATTCTACTCAGTATCAGCACATCTACAAAAACGACATGGATACGCGTATTCAGAGCACCTCTGTTCATACAGGTACAAGTGGACCAGCCGAAATGGCCCTCCACATGTGAACAGATAAATAAGTGATGGTATATTCATAACCACATAAAGAGAAACAAACCCCTGATACAGATAACAGCTTGGATTAATCTCAGAAACATCAAACACCTTCTTGATATGGTCTCATTTGTACTGTGGGACAGACAGAACACACTGAGAGGGACAGAGCAGGTAGCGGTTGACGAGCAGGAGCAGCCGTGGTCGCCGAGGGGCCCAGGGAGCTTGGAGGGGTGATGGAAACGCTCTGTGTGATTTGTCGGTGGTCGCACATGTGCAGGCATGGTGCACTGGGTGTAAGTATATCTCAACAAAGGTCATTTTGGAAGTAAAACAGCACAGGGGCTGGTGGGCTGTGAAGGGCAGCGTGTTCCATTGGCAGAGTTTCTTCTAGGGCTCGCAGCAGGTCTCACAGACTTCAGCTCGGTGGGTGGTTTGGGACTGCGAAGTCCGGAGTCCTCAACCCACTGGCATCTCAGAATCACCCGAAGAGCTTGTCCAAGACAGTGGTGCCCAGGCTTCACTCCCAGAGGTGCTGATCAGCTGTTCCGTGCTTGGGGCCATGGCTGTGATACCCTTTGAATCCTCCCCTGGCGATTCCGATGTCGAGCCAGGGTTGAGAACCACTGGCCCCGACTTCTGCCCTGAGCTCTAGAGAAAGACCGTCTGCAGAACGCAGGCCATGTTACTCCCTGAGGGACACCGTCAGTTGTCCCTCTGGTCTGGGAACAGAAGTGGTGGCTCAGTCATGAAATATCCAGTATTACCCTGCACACAACGCCATGGAAATAAATGCAGTACAGAGATAAACGATGCTGTATTTTTGTGCGACTTAGAATGGTCGCGTGAGGAAAGCCAGTGGAGGGGTTCAGATGGAAATCATAGCCCAGAAGTGCACCCAGCTCACGAGAAAGTCGAGGAAAACATGGCACTAACAACTTAGGGTACCTACAAACCTGCTGTGATTGTAGGAGTAAATCTTGATGTAATTGAGCTTCGCTGAGGGAAGACATGGTTGGTAAAGGATTACTCTGCCCAGCCCTTTTCAAGTGTTGGTGGTAAAGGAAACCTAAAAGCTCAGAACCAGGTGAAAACAGTACTGTCCTCATGTGCCGGCACTGTGCCAACTCGTGTAAATGCGGCCCCATGAGGTGGGCAAGGCCCGCTGCTCACACATAAGGGAATGTAGACTTCGTCAAGGTCGGAAGCCTCCTCGAGGTCGAACAGCCAAAGGACGATCTGGAATTCCCTGTAGGTCTGCCTGCCCCCAAAGTGCCCTTCTTCCCTCCGCGTTGTTGGGAGTTGAGTCTCGTCCTGCGGGCAAGTGCTTGCGCGTCTCGTACCGGATGGTCCGTTTCATCCAGCATCTGCCCCTGCGATCGAGCCCTCCGCGTCAGCCATCAGCACATCTGGGATGCTTCGTCCCCATGGGAACCTTGTGGGAGCGGCCGCACCGTCATCGCGTACTCCCTTCAGCAGTACCCTGGTGATCTCTTTACCTGTTTGTGTGCATTTGTTTTGAGGAGCTGTGGGTGAACACGGTTTTACAAATGTCAGGCTTGATTCACTGTAAGTCTGATAGGAGGTTCGGCCCCGCGTTAGGATCGCGCCCTTGCCCTTCTTCAGGTTTTTGGATTTTTGCGTGTGCCGTTCAGTGGCAGAGCAGCCAGACAATTGAAGCTGTTTTCTGTCAACCTGCTCTTTTCCCAGAGGAGCTCAGATGTTATGAGAGTTGGGGTCTCAGTGTTCTCCGTGCCACAGGCAGGAGCTCGGGTGGCTGCCGTGGGGACCTCACGCCTGGTGGTGACGCTTCTCAGGGGCTTGTATCCGAGCGTTCTTCTTAGGTGACCTTAGCCTGTGTTCGTTCTTAAGTGCACAGTTAGGTATTTGTCATAATGCTGCCATCGTCCTTGTCTAGAACTGATCATTTATGTTATAAACATCTAGCGAATTTCTGTGAAAATGTATTTATATCATTTCATAATGCAGTGGTTTGAATACAAAATGCCTGTCTAGGAAAGCATACACTCAATTCAGTGACAGCCCGAGTATACTGTGATTTTTCAAGAGCTCTTTAATGCACCCTTATTGCCTGCTTAAATTTCAGTTTTTATGTGATTTTGTTTCATTCAAAGAAACTCCTACTCATGTAGCATATCTGAGGATTCTATTTCCCCCCTCCAGGAAAAACAATTTTGTTTGCATTGCCTGATAGATCCTGGATACTTTTATTTCTCATTTGCCAGTAAAACTGGTTTTTGAAAGTCAGTTTTCATTTGTACCTAATTCAAAGTAGGACTGTAAACTCAGCCATGTGAAAGTTACCTGCCATTCCCTTGTCCTTCCGGAGCTGCCCCTCCACTCCTCGCCCTGCCAGCTAAGCTTGCAGTGACCAGCACGGAGATGACTGGCCGAGTAATCTGAGCAGCTACTCTGTGTGGCTGCTCTAGGAACCTGTTCTGTCCTTGGTCCCCCTTTGAGGTAGCCCCAGTCTTCCTCATTTTACAGGCAGGAAAACTGACCAAAAATTTAGGTCACGTGCCCCACGCCACCCTCTCGTAAGTGCTGGACAGCTAAGCTGTGACCCCGTGCTGCGCGCACTCGCCCTGCATCCCCCCACCACGTGCCCCCACCCTGCGTCCCTCAGCTGCGCACCGTGCAACCCCCCACTGTGCATCCCTCACCGTGCGCCCTCACCCTGCATCGCCCCCCCCCATGCTCAGCATACCCTCACCCTGCAACCCTCCACTGTGCATTCCTCTGCTGCACACCCTCATCCTGCAGTGCCACCCTGACCCCGCGCCCTGCATCCCTCTGCTCTTTTGCCCCCGGTCCTGGAGCGCTTTGTGTTCCTCACTTCTGATCTCCCAGCAATTTGCACATGTTCTCCCCGACCCAAAACATCCTTCACAGCCCCCTTTGTTTGTTATTTAATTCACGTACTCCCTTCAGCAGTACTCTGGTGATCTCTTTACCTGTTTGTGTGCATTTGTTTTGAGGAGCTGTGGGTGAACACGGTTTTACAAATGTCAGGCTTGATCCACTGTAAGTCTGATAGGAGGTTCGGCCCCGCGTTAGGATCGCGCCCTTGCCCTTCTTCAGGTTTTCTCAATCTCAAGCTAAATATCACGTCTTCGGGGAGGCCTCCCCTGGGAGCCCCGTGCTTTGTGGTCCCTTAGCTGCACGGAAATCAGCCCAGCACCCGGCACACTCCTGCATGGAGACGCACCGTGCTGCAGGAGGGTTTGAGTTACACCCTGTCTGACAGCTGGTGAAGATCTGTTGGTCTTCCTTCCTCCCTGTGCCAGCCACCAGGCCCTGCTCCTTTTCTGGGTCTCTCCTCTTCACCCCCAGGCAGGTGCATCTGGCCGCAGCTCTCCTTCATTATCGGGAGACTTCATTGTTAACCCTGTCCTACTGGCAGGTGCATGGCAGGTTACTGGGGGAGAAGTGGGGTGTGAGGCCTGCATCGGGAAGTTGTGAAGACAATCTCAGGTGGAGCCACTGCAAGTCTGGCCATAAAAGCTTCCTCTGTGCTTCTCAGACACACGGTCGTATGACCCTCCCAGGTCCCTCAGGCGAGGTCTAACCTCCATGCCAGTGCTTCTCAAACATCTACAGTGAAGAGCCAGATACCTTTCTGCCAAGGCGTCCTGGACCAGTATGTTTATAAAATATGATAGAAAGGAATACCAGAAAAATAGAATTTTAAACTAGACAAAGAGCATTCAAGCCTAAATTTTGTTACAAGACTTTACGGACAGAGCAGAACTCGTAAGTCGCTAGTACAGTTTCTCACTTTTTCCCCCGTCCTTGCAGTGGCCTCCAGACCTTACTCTGGGTAACACTTGTTAGTGGGGTGACAACAGGGAGGGCACCTAACTTGTGAGCCTTACTGCCTTGATCTCTGAAATGGAACCAATAATACCCTGTTGGGATTGAAGGGAATCATTTAAAGTGTCTGCACTAGATGTCTATCAAATAATAATTCATGACCCACCCAACCTCCAATTCCTAGAAGAAATTGTAGAAATTATATTTATTCTCTTCTCCCCTGCCTTGGTGAAACTGAGAACCGTCAGTAACGGTGACTCTTATGCAACAAGCCTGTGCTCGCTGTCAGCTGGAAACCTGGTTTCTCTCAGTGGGATGGGGCGTGCAGACTACAGACAGTCCCTGACTTATAATGGCTCAACTTAAGCTTTCTTGACTCCGTGATGGTGCAAAAGCAGTATGCACTCAGTAGAAGCCATACTTCAAATTTTGAATTTGGATCTGTTCTCACGCTAGTGGTTCATGGTACATCCTCTCTCGTGTTGCTGGGCAGCAGCAGTGAGCGCAGCTCCCAGTCAGCCGCGCGATCACTTGGATAAACAGCCAATACACCGACAACCATTCTGTCATCCGCTTTCAGTACGGTATTCAGTGCATCACATGAGATACCCATACTTGATTATGAAACAGTCTTTGTGTGAAATGATTTTGCCCAACTGCAGGCTAATGTGAGCGTTTTGAGCTCATTTAAGCGAGGCTGGGCTAAGCTGTGGTGCTCAGTGGGTTTGACATATTAAATGCATTTTTTACTTAAAATATTCTCAAGTTACAAGGGGCTTATCGGGACATAACCCCATCATAAGTCAAGGAAGATCCATAGTTGATCTCATACTGGGAATGCTCCCTGGCAGCTGGCTTTCTGCTTCTAGGCCTTTTCAGTAAACAGCTAAGGAATAAGTATTTTTTAGAAAGAGAAAAGTACATCATGAAATCATGCTGATATTTTGAACTTAACTCTAAAATTAATGTTTGATTTGACACTTCTCTTTTGATGCTGGAAATCTCAGTTCCTAATGATATTAATTACCCATTTGCTTTAAGCTAAATATCTAAATAATGGTTCAAGATAACAATGCTGATATTATAATGTGGAGACAACTGAATGCGGTTTTGAGATTTCTGTGCCGCTCTTTACGAGCCTAGGGTCCATCTCACCAGGGCATAAAGTCAGAGTGCTGTTGTCGTTCTGTGAAAGGATTTTTGTTTATATGTCATCAGATTAATTTGTTTCTATTGGCTGTTTTTATAACTTTATAAATTTAATTTTTAATTGAGGTGTAATTGACACATAAAATTATATTAGTTTCAGGTGTACAGCATACAGACTTGATATTTGTAATTCCCCTCCCTGGGAGTTGTGCCATTTCACATTCCCTCTAATAGTGCATCGAGGTGGCTGTTTCCCTGTTGCTTGTATATGTTGTAAAACTTGGTTATTTGCCCTTCTGACAGGTGAAAAATGGTATCAGGAATAACAATAAATTGCCTGTCTTTCATTTTATGAGCAAGGTTGAAAGTATTCTGGTATCTCTATGGTCCATTTGCATTTCTTTTTTTCTGTGCCATTTCTGTTTACATATTTCATTTTACTATTTACTATTGGTCTTTTCTCAATTTTTGTAAGTTCTTTATATGTTAAAATATTAATCCTTTTCCTGTGATATTGTACAGATAATTCTCCCAGTTTTCATTTGCCTTTTTAAAAAGTATAGTCAAATTTTAACACCTTTTCTCTATTGTTTCTGCATTTTGAATTGTCTGAGAAAAGCTTTTCTTACTTGTCTCTTAGGAAAAGAGTTCATTTACGAGGACTAGTAAACTCTGATGAACTCAGATCCATTTGGAGTTTGTCCTGGTAAACAGTGTTGGGAAGAGGTCCACTTTTATCTTTTATACAGCTACCCAGTTGCCCCAACATTTTTGCAGAAAGGTGAAGAGAAAAATGTTTTTAAATATTTCTGTGTGAGTGTAGGTGACTCAGATACAGATTTTCCCCTGCTCTGCAAAAGTAAAGCGCTTTCTGTGAAACCTTCTGTAAGCTGAAGTGGCATAAAGCGAAGAAACAGTTACCGTTAATTTATAGGGACAAATTCTTGGGCGTTCCCAGGCCCAAAAAATAACCTAGCAGATCATGCCAAGTAACACTAACGTGCAGTAAAAGCAGGAGTGATGTGGTAAGTACACAGCCTGTAAAAGTGGAGATGATGTGTGTACCGTGTGGTTTCCTGGGAAAGGGTCAGGGCTGCGGCAAGCCCCCTGGAAGGCTCAGAGGAGGTGGTGATGGGGTTGGGGTTCTGGGAGGGACAGGACACCGAGGTGCAGGAGAGAGAAGAGAGGGGGCCTGTGTTAACATCTCATCGTTGTCTCAGCACCTGAGGGCAGGCAGGTTGTAATGTCCACACCTTCTGCCTGCCTGCCTCGGCGTCCACGGGAGAGGTTTGTCGTCTGCTACGGCTGACGTGGCTGCTGTGGAAGGCCTGAAATATGGCAGTGTGCTTGACTGCTTAGCCTCACACCTTTTTCTGTCACACAGTCTCCGAAGGCGCTCAGACATCCTGCAGACCTGCCCTGAAGCTTGTGCCCTTTCAGAAGGAAAGGCATGCTTTTCTGCAATCTTCACAGGCAGCGCTGGTAGTCGTAGCAGAAATCTCACACAAGGGATCACGTTCAGGTCCCGCACAGCTTCCCTTCCAGGCCAGTTTTGATTTGTGTCCTTTTCTCTTGCAGTCGCCTCTGCTCTTTTCTGCCAGTTCTTGGCCACAGATCCAGAGCTGCCTCAGTGTCATCCCTGTCGATTTCCCAAAGCCAGTCTCCTTAGCCAGCATCACTGCTGGCACATTTATTGTTGTTGATTCGAAGCCTTTGAAGTTGTTCACTGCATCAGGACGCAGTTCCCTCCAAATGCCATTACTTACTGAGACTGTCAGCCTATTGAGAGCATCTCCAGGGGCTGGTGATTGCCAGTTTTATATGGTCTTTCCAGATGTCTCTAAAGATGCTGTGGAGGTGCCCACTCTGCACGCACAATAAAACGCATCCCACTTTGCATGTAATGAGCCTTAATTGCGGCTGTTAGGCCTTGGGCATACAGCGGCAGCAACGGAGTCGTGTTTGGGGTAAGAACGTGAACCATGTTACCGCTGTGCTTGGTAATGCCAGGTGGGCGGGTGGCACAGTGATTGACAATCAGGGGACACTCACTGCCAAGGTAGTTTCCTCTACATTATTTTCAGCAAAAAAACTCAACAGATCGAAACTCGATACTCAGGGGGAGAGAGCTTGAGTATTCCAGCCGTGTGGATATGAAGGAAACGCCCCCCGGCGTGCACCTCTGAATTTCCTGAGTGGCTCATGAGGAGAGGCCGAAGCGTCACCGGGGTGCTGATGACAGGCAGTAGGGTCAGCCTGCCCCGTGAGACTGTGACCCTCAGCCTGCTTTCCTTCTACGGAAATAAATGCCTCGCTAGGCCATTTTCCCCAGTAAATTGTAGTTTCATCACAGTTCAACACTTACTTCTACAAGTGACTGCTTTCTGCAGTTGCTTTCTTCAGATCTGGGAACTTGCTGGCAGCTTCAGGATCAGCCACAGCGGTGTCACCAGTAACTTTAAGCTGTGAAGCTGCCCTCGCCTAAGAACCCGTCAGACCTCCCATGACCCCCTTTAAGTCCCACTCTCATGAGACTCGCACTGCCGTTGTCCCATGCCTCCCTCTCAGCTTGTTACAAAGACTGGATCCGCTCGAGTGTAAGGCAGCATTACAGACACCACCCTCCGCACACCCATCAGTCCACTCCAGCCGCACTTCTGTTCCAGCCACTGTTGAATGCTGACCAAGGGGACCACTCTGCTGCCAGCGGGACCAGTGATAGCTCCGGCCGCTCTCAGGAGCTGTTCGCTGCGTGTGCAAATGGTACCAACAGTGGATGTAGGCAGCTTCAATGCTACACAGTGTCATGTCATCCGCCACTGTCAACATGCTTAACTACATCCGGTTACACTAAGTGTAACACCCTTGCAAGCTCTCTTAAGGCTTTTCTGATACCTAGGGACCCGTGTTGCTGAAATAAATCGAGATTAAGTACAGCTGCTCCCAGACAGTCCAAAACTATGGAAGCTGGACACTGACTTGACGTGCCAAGCATGGCTCCCGGGAGGGGAGCTTGCTGCTGCTTTAACGCCCACTGCAGAGCAAACACTGGGCACTAATTTGGCTTTTCACCTTTTTTTTGTAAAAGCAAAATCCTCTTTAGATTTTCTCGGTTAACAAAGCAGGTACTAATACGGTGACACAGCATGAACTTTTGAAAAGTGGGGGATACCTGTAATTGCACAAACAGTATTCTAGCAAAGAGTAAGGAAATAAAAAAGGGGAAAAATCCTGTGCAGTCTCTGACCCCACCCAGGCCGTGTTCACTGTGTAATTTGTATCCTCCTTCTCTCTAGGTAAATGAACTGGATGGCATTCCCTTGATCCTGGACAGCTGCAGCATCGATGACAGTAACCCCTGTATCCTTGCATGTGACTCCCTGAGCATCCGCTCACAGTTGGGGGGCCTTCCTGGTGTTCATTTGCAATGTGTAGTGGGCTGGCTTTCTTGTTCTCTTGTTTTTAAGAACTAAGCCACTTTCTCGAAGTTGGGGTGCTGGAGTGTCACTCCTGCAGCCTATGCAGTGTAGTGAGCTCAGGTTTTCTGGGTGAATGGGACCCTCTAATCCAGCATTCCTGCAGGAAGTGCTTTTAAGCTCTGGGGCACAAACAGCTCATCCATGGCCCCTGTGTGCTGCATGTCACCAGTGTCACCTTTTTAAAGTGTGTACCTGTCCTTGGAGTGTATGTGAAGAATTTTCTTTTTTTGCTATAGAGAGTATACACATCCAGTCCTACTATTTTAACAGTGGTTTGGCCTCATAGAAACAGGAGCACTCTGACCCCCTGGAACAGGGAGAACCGTTTCAGGGGCCCTGGATTCTCGTTTTTGACGGTCCTGTGTTCCCTGCCACTTCACCAGGCAGTCGTACTGTCAGAAACTGATCGAGTACAGTGGTGAGGAACCTGGGACGGGGTAATAAATCGAGATTAAGTACAGCTGCTCCCAGACAGTCCAAAACTATGGAAGCTGGACACTGACTTGACGTGCCAAGCATGGCTCCCGGGAGGGGAGCTTGCTGCTGCTTTAACGCCCACTGCAGAGCAAACACTGGGCACTAATTTGGCTTTTCACCTTTTTTTTGTAAAAGCAAAATCCTCTTTAGATTTTCTCGGTTAACAAAGCAGGTACTAATACGGTGACACAGCATGAACTTTTGAAAAGTGGGGGATACCTGTAATTGCACAAACAGTATTCTAGCAAAGAGTAAGGAAATAAAAAAGGGGAAAAATCCTGTGCAGTCTCTGACCCCACCCAGGCCGTGTTCACTGTGTAATTTGTATCCTCCTTCTCTCTAGGTAAATGAACTGGATGGCATTCCCTTGATCCTGGACAGCTGCAGCATCGATGACAGTAACCCCTGTATCCTTGCATGTGACTCCCTGAGCATCCGCTCACAGTTGGGGGGCCTTCCTGGTGTTCATTTGCAATGTGTAGTGGGCTGGCTTTCTTGTTCTCTTGTTTTTAAGAACTAAGCCACTTTCTCGAAGTTGGGGTGCTGGAGTGTCACTCCTGCAGCCTATGCAGTGTAGTGAGCTCAGGTTTTCTGGGTGAATGGGACCCTCTAATCCAGCATTCCTGCAGGAAGTGCTTTTAAGCTCTGGGGCACAAACAGCTCATCCATGGCCCCTGTGTGCTGCATGTCACCAGTGTCACCTTTTTAAAGTGTGTACCTGTCCTTGGAGTGTATGTGAAGAATTTTCTTTTTTTGCTATAGAGAGTATACACATCCAGTCCTACTATTTTAACAGTGGTTTGGCCTCATAGAAACAGGAGCACTCTGACCCCCTGGAACAGGGAGAACCGTTTCAGGGGCCCTGGATTCTCGTTTTTGACGGTCCTGTGTTCCCTGCCACTTCACCAGGCAGTCGTACTGTCAGAAACTGATCGAGTACAGTGGTGAGGAACCTGGGACGGGGTACCGGCTAGCAGGCGTGAGAAGACCTTCCCCGGTGAGAAAGCCAAACAGCCCAGTTGCTTGCCCGGCTCTGCATGACCTTGTGCTGATTGCCTGTGGGGCGGGGAGGGGCTTGAGTAAGGGCCGTGGGAGTATGACCCTGTGGGGGACCGTGGGGAGCCCATCCTCAGACCAAGGGACAGAGGAGCAGGGGCATTTAAAACAATTCCCCTCGCTGTGTCTGTCAGGAAGAGAGAAGGAGCTGATGAAAAACATGTGTTTCAAAGTAAGTAGATTGAGAAACACTTATCACTGTGCCAAAGATGCTGTCACTCAGCTGATGAGCGATGGAGGAAAGTCTCCTGTTTGAAAGAGCGCGATAGCTGACAAGCTCGCGGAAAGACAGCCTCAGAAGGCTCCTCTCCAAGGCGACAGGGTTGGTTCCCTGCACTGTGTGCTGTGTTGTGATCAGGCACTGCAGGTCCCCAAAAAAGGAAAGGGAGGGAAAAGCTCTTAGGTAGGAAGGTTCTGGGGCAGCTGCAGGTGCTGCGTTTCCTCATGAAAAAGATGACTTACTATGAAAAATGAACCCTCCCCAGTTTTACTTTCATATTCCCTGAATTGACCTTCTAGTGAAAAAGCTTTGTTATCAGTGGTCACTGGCTATTGCACAGGGCACGTCGCAGCTCTGCAGCCAGGCTGCGTGGGAGTCAGGCTTACAGGGCTTTGCCTGGGCTGCGTCCTGCCAGCATCGTTCGTTCATTCCCTTCTTCCCTCACAGGCATCTATCGAGTCCTTCCTCTGTTTACACACCTGCCTTACTTAATCCTGACAACCCCATGATGTGGGTGCTGTCATCATCATCCCCATTTTTTAGATGAGGAGATAACTAAGGTGAGACTCCCAAGGGCCTGTCCTGAAGTCAGACCCAGAATTTACGCTTGCTGTGCACCAGACTCCGAGCCCCTTGCAATGCTGCCTCCTTAGAGTCACTGGGAGGGGGCAGAACACACACAGAGAAACCCCAGGAACATGCTCGTGTGGCAGAGAAATCATTCAAAATTATAAATGGAGAACATTTACGTGGATAATATGGTTTTTAAAACCAGATAACTGGTTTTTATAGTGATAATGAAACACTGCGGTATCACGGAATCTCTTCTAAATTGTCAAGAAAAGTTAAAAGTATTACATTTAGTGTTGTACATAGTCAGTAATTCTTTGGAGTTTTATTTGTTAAAGCCTACCAGGTTGAAAAGGCATGTAAAATATGCATAAGATAGGAGATACATACTAAATTTTCAGAGAAAGGGAGAATGATGGAGAAAGGCCAGAAATGAATAGCATCAGAGCCTAGGGATTCGGTTTTTAGGTGTGAGCCATAAATCAGACCCTGCCCATCCTAGTAGCCAGAGCGCGTGGGGACCTGACACGGGTCACAGGGTAAAAACACAGCACGGCCCCCCCATGCTGTTTCTCCGCTCCTGCCCACAGGCATGGTTTCTGAAGAGCTACCTGAATACCCTGACCCTGCCTCAGCCCTCATTCACTTATTTCCCCCCTATTCTTATATTTTATCCTGCCCTGTATTTTTTATTCATCGGTACACCTTTTTAAAAATGCCACCAGCTATTGATGGGGGAATGCCATCTCTGGCTCCACCCTTCATATTTTTCAATTCACTTTCATAGCTCTTTTTTCTTATAGTTGCTTTTATATATCTAAAATATATATCTAAGTAACACGCTTTGCTATTATTGTCTTTGTTATATCTCTTGATATATCAAATCTTGATATTATCAAAAGAAATATTAAAGAAATAGTTTCCTACCTCAGATCATGATGATAATCTGTATTATCTTCTTAGTACCATCTAGTTTTACCTTTTATATTTTGGCCTCTAATTCATTTGGAGTTGATTTTTGTGTATGGTGTGAGTTAGGGGCCTATTTCTTAATTTCTCCATATGGACACAGTTATCCAGCCAGGTTATTGAAAAAAACATGGTTGCTGATGGTGCTGCCACTTTTATCATAAATATCCGTAGATATGTGGGTCCATATTTGGACTCTGTTTACTTTTTCATCAGTCTCTTTGTCCCTGTAATACCACAATCTTACATTGCTTACTAACATTTCTTGATATTAGTAGAGTCTTCTCTCTTCTAAGAGTGTTATGCATATTTTTGGTTATTTATATTTTCACATAGAGGCTTTAGAACCAGCTAGTCAAATTCTGCACATTAGTCCTTGTGTGCTTATGTGCACACATATACATATTCACATATGTGCACACGTGAAATCACTCCAGCAAAAACAGTTTAAAATCCCCACATATTGAGCTATTCATTGATATTACATTGACTAAAATCAATTTGATGAGAACTGACATCTAAACAATACTGAGTTTTCTACCCCATGAACTTTGTGTGAGATGATCTTGCCCAAATCTAGGCTAATGTGAGCATTCCGAGCCCATTTAAGGTAGGCTGGGCTCAGCTATGGTGTCAGTAGGTTTGACATATTAAATGCATTTTCAACTTAAAATATTTTCACGTTACAAGGAGCTTATCGGGACATAACCCCACCATACGTCAAGGAAGATCTGTAGTTCATCTCATACTAGGAATGCTCTCCAGTTGCTTTTCTGCTTCTAGGCCTTTTCAGTAATCAGCTAGGAATTAAGTATTTTTTAGAAAGAAGTATGTCGTGAAATCATGCTGGTATTTTTAGTTTAAATGTGGAATTAACTTCTTTGATTTAACACTTCTTTTTGACGCTGGAAATCTGTTCCTAATGACATTAATTACCCATTTGCTTTAAACTAATTATCTAAATAATGGCTCAAGATAACTACTGATATTATTATGCAGAGACAACTGAATGCAGTTTCAAGTTTCATTAATTATATCTAGGATGATTAATTTTCAGCTTTACACACACACACACGCACACACACGCGCACACACACACGCGTTTTCAGCTCCACTGCATGGATTTGGGCCTGCATGATTTTGGTTACCATACATTTCTGATTTTTATTATGGCTTCTTTCTGATCCATGGGTTGTTTAGAAATGCATTTCTTAATTTCTAAACAAATAGTATTTCCTAGTTATCTTTCAGAGATTGATTTCTAGCATAAATGCATCATGATCAAAGAGCATATTCATAATGTTCTTCATCCTGTGAAATCTTATCAAGATTTGCTTAATGACCGAGTATATGGACAGTTTTTGTCAACATTCTGTGTGTGTTTGGAAAGCACACCTATTCTTCAGTACAGTGCAGTATTTTATACATGTACATTAGGTCAAGTTTATAAAGTTTTTATATTTTTACTGATGTTTTTGTTTACTTTGGTTTATCAGTTACAGAGAGAGATGTTTTAAAACATCAACCTATGATTATAAATTTGGGTGTTTCTCTTGTTAGGTACATGCATTTTCCCTTAAATGTCTTGA